CCTTGGATTTTCTTTGATTATTTTAGAGTATGGATACACTGAAAAGCAATGTGTTGCAGAATGCCGTCCAAACCCTGTCAGACAAAAACTAAGAATGTGCTCCCTCTTTAACCATCATACAATAAAAAGCTTTCTGTAATGTCTTTAATCCAAATGTACATATTGAGCATCTAATTTGCAAAAGGTCACAGATTCTGGAAAGAAATATTAAAACTAGAATGAGTAAAACTCAGTTGGATTTGGAAGGGATATGCAGACTTGAGCCTGAAAGTTGAGTATGACTTGTGTCTGATGACAAGATAATCAAAATCTAATTTTGGTGTTACTGGGAATAGAAGCAGCAAGCCAAAGCCTAGTGAGTCTGAGAGCCTGTGACAGCAACTAGCACCACCATATAGCAGCATATCAGTCACTGCCGAACGTGGAATACCAGACCACAATAACTTTCAATCTGGACAAGCTTAATCACTCTCATGAAACATTCCTACTGCAGTGTGCTTCTTTGAATGTGTCCCAGTAAATTATCTGGTGAAAGATTTATGATGTGAAGAAGAACGAGAAGTAAAAACAACATTCATTTTTCTCAGCAATCAGAGCTGCCCTAAAGTAGGCTGTAAAAAACAGAATGTATATTCATCAAACTGGTTTGGGTTGCTTTGGATTTGGGGTTTGGGTTTTTTTTTGTTGATTTTTTTTTTCCTTCAAGAAACCTATTGAATATATATGGAAAAGAGACGCAGTATGAAATACCCAAGAGATTAGGAGTAGTATGGCATGGCAACATAACTGCATGTGGAAGAAAACTTGAGTGCATTATACTTCCCAAGTGCCCCTCTCTGAGAATTCTACCAATATAACTATTTTCTATTTGATGTTAATAAAAATACTGGACAATCTTTAGGGATAAGAAACTTATTATAATCATTGTCACTACTACTTTCTAACTCCCGTTAACATACCTACAGTGTTAGAAAAGATTAGAAAGCATGTTTGCACATATAAAGGGATAAAAAATGGAATTTGAGCTGACATACAGAAAGGAATCGCTGCTGTTCGTTACTGAAATTATCTCACTATACAAAAAGCGATGCAGTGACATACACAAAGCAATTTAACTGTGGTAAAAAAGCCAAAGTATGTCAGAAGGCTGTTAGGTCCAGTTTAATGTGATTGTCTTTTTTAGACTTCTTTTTACTAACTTCAATCATACACTGTAGTTGTTCTAACGTTTCACAGCAGAGATTTACTGCTAAACTAGGTTTGACCTGAGAATGAGAAAGCAGTCCATTCACTGTAACTATTGTCTAATAAATTTTGCATCAGCTGAAGCCTGGTTCAGGCAGAAACAAAATCCATGAGCTATGAATGCCAAGCGGGGAACTCTGGAAAAGCAAAGTTTTCAATGACCCCTTTGAATCCCAGTTTAAAACTCTTAACTCATTACAGTGTTCTTTTAAGTACAATTTGGTTACAAAGAACACTTGAAGAAAAATTGCCTTTCAAAGCAACCTCTTTAAAGAGGTTTTCTAAAATCCTCATTTTTTTGCCTTAAAGGAAATCTACCTTCACTGTGCTGTGTCAGCAGATGAAGTAAGAAAGAAGGCATTTTCTTTAAAAAGAAAAAAAAGTAAAAAAAAAAAAAAAGTTAAAGTTTGATAATTGGTTCTCTTTGTTGTAAAAATACATGGCATAGAGAAAATTCACATATTACCAGAAGATTGTAAAATATTCAAATATTCAGAGGTGGTAGAACCATTGTCAAGCTTTTGACATATCCTAGTAGAAAGTATAAAAGTTTCTATTCATCTTAAAATACAGCATTCAAAAAAGGACTCCTCCACTTTAAATAAATCTTGTGATGTTTGAACGTTCTCTCAGACTCACTGAAGGCCTGCATTTTTGAGATTGATTGACTAATGAATATCCAGTGCAGGTGCTGAATTACGAATACATTTCTATCTATAGTTTACTGTATTAGAGAAAATCTAAGACAAATTAATGGCATGGACCTGTCATTTTAGCCAAGAATCTGAACACCTGTTTTGAAAATGACTAGAAAAAAATCTCGACACAAAACCACTAAACTTATCCTGGATCACTTTGTACAAATATTATTACCAATACATTAAAAACAACTTTAAAAGTGGAATTCTATTACATGAAAAAATTACAGGTAAACATCTTAGAAAGAGCACAGTAAGTTGTGTCAGACTAAGGAGCTTCAGGTAATATACAGTCATGTCGCCCATCAATCCTTTATGCCAAAACTTCCAAATCCCACACCAGAAAGCAGCATATACTCCAAAGAGGAACATACTTTGGTAGGCGCATTGGTCAGCAATTAGTAAATAAGCTTATTTCAAAGCATGCAAATGATGACAAGCTTTAAAATTACATTCTCAGAGTTAAACTTCCAACAACATTTAATTTTCCTATCAAATGCTTTATTCACACTAGCTTCCGGAGGGATTTATATTTCAGAGATCTGCTCTTTCATGAAGACAATCAAGTCAGAACAGAATGACAATAAAATACTAAAGCAAACAAAATGATCTGTTTCAGACTTCTGAGCTCTGAATATAGTTTTTATTATTAGCATTTCACTGTCGAGCCATCATAAACAAAAATGGGAGTAGTACAACTTGGTCTTACGCTTCACAGATTTTCATAACTGAGTAATGTATGATCAGGCAGCAGCTAAAACCAACTTCTTTGAGCAGTTCCAGTACCATGGTTAAACCAGATATTTTTTCAGTAAGTCAAATGCATGTAGCTTTGCTAACAGAAGAGACAAAATATTGAAGAAGATATCTACAATTGCCTAAAAATGTCAAGCTTTTTTTTTATAATAGAAGAATAAAAAATTCTCTAAAGACTATTTATTTTAAGCATGTTTATTTCCTACAGAATTTAATCCCATCAAAACACCCACTCAAATTTAGAATAAATTTACATGTATAAACTCCTAGATGTCTGCAGCTGGAAACTGCGTAAGATGTAATGAACAGGATTTTCTACTATGTGAAACACATTTTTATCCCTACAACATTAAAGTGGAAAGCGAGAACATGTACTAAGCCTTAACTTAGTTTTTGCCATGTTATCTCAGATTTCATGTCAGTAGAGAAATTGTACAACCAGAAATATACCAAGCTTTCAGATACAAGTAATTGTTATACAGACTCATATTCTGAAGAAATTTGCTTTTTAAACTTAACAAAAGCAGGAAAAGAAGGACTTACTGCTCATATTCAACAGACATGTTCCACTGAGGGACATGGTTCAGTGGTGGACTTGGCGGTGCTGGGGTAAGGGTTGGAATTCATGACCTTTTCCAGATTTGTTCCAGCATAAACAATTTTGTGATTCTATATTATTTAACAAAAACTGACTTTGGCTTTCTAAAATAAATGTTATTCATCCAGGCACAACACCACAGGCTAATGAAAAGGGGAAAAAATTATGAGTGTTCCAATTCAGTTACCAACAATTTGCACTCCCCTTCATAAAGAGGGCAGATAAGAACACATTAAGAGCAGGAGGAGGATGAAGAGTTGTCAAATCAGTAATCAAGAGAAAAAGAACATCCTCATGAAATGCTGAATAATGACCTGGAAACTAAAATGAGGCACTTGAGCTGAAGCATCAATCATCCAGATAGGGAAAAGTAATATTTAGATGACTCCTGTACACAAAGGCTGAACAAACCACAGTGAAAATGGCTCCGGTAGCTCATATGGTGTAGCTGCAGTCTGATGGGTTCTCTCTAGTTAAACACCTATAAGTAAAGACAGACCCTACAAGAACAGAGATTACCTCAGAAAACAGAAGTGGATGTTTAATAGATCAAGCACAATGCAAACACCTCCAAATGTCTGTACACAGATGTGAGAGAAACAAGGGATTAGACAAGGGTTTAATTAGAGATGCTAATTAATAGATATTTTGATTTAAAGGTGAATGCAGACACTGACTGCTGGCAGAATGCTTTAACAAGTTGAGTGACATGATATCATATATAAAAAAAATGAGCTTTCATTGAACGATCTTCACAGAGAAGAGTAAGAACTTAGAATTTTCTGAGTCACGATATTAGAAATACGCAGTAGGGAACTATCACATGGCTTTAACAAGCATGTACATAAAGTAGTAGAGTTTCAGGAGTTCAGGTTTTACTGGATAATTTGCCTTCCATAGAGGGGGCACAAAGGGCTGTACATTTGTATCTCAAAACTGCCTATATCTTACTTGATATAAAGCATAGCTGATTCTTCAACTAAAACTAAACCAGGCCATTTATTTTAAAACCCATATCTAATTGTTGGCTGAATGACAATTTAATAGGTCTCTTTGGTCAAGTTAACCAGATGATTTGATACTGTTCCTATGAAGCAATACACACTAATGGCTTCAACACACTTGACTTTTGATTGATTCGGATAAGTGAATACCTGAATGAGAGTAAAACATTTAGTTATTGGACATAACAGGTATTTAAAGTAAGAAGCATTTTATAAAAGAAGAGATTGCCTCACCATGCTTACAAGTTCACACAGGCAGGTTATTTCAAATATTCTAGGATCCCAATGCTGCAATAACATATTATAGGCAGTTATAAAAGTAATTAATCAGGTTTCCTTCTTCCAGTTCATAATGAGGTGAAGGGTGAGAAGGAAGAGTAAGCAGTGACAAAATGAAAGCAGAGGAAACAACACTCCCATTCCCACACTTAAATTACATAGCAGTTAGGAACAGGAAAAGAATTCCAAGGCATCTGATTAATAGTGAATATAAGTTGGCCATATGGGATTTTACCATAACAGTGTTTTATTCTGAGAAAAGTTTGTAATTTAACACAAAACAGTTGAAATGGTAAAATGGTATCCATTCTCCTACAGTTCTTTCATTAAACCTCCTTATAACACTGGTTACTTTAACAAGCAACAGAGGTTGTATACTGAGGATTACTGTAAAGAAACCAGTTCTAAGTTTAAACAAACCTTGTCTTGGAAATTCATCCGACTCCCTGTGAACAAGGTCAGAAACTCGATTTCCATAGTGCATCCTGGTGTCGTGATCATATGCCTTCAGTGTCTCACTTGAGCTGTAAGACTTCTGAGTTGGTACTCTGCAGTCTTCACTATCCAGTGAAGAACTTGTATAGCGACACTCCTTTCCGCACCGGCCCCTGGTCAGAGAACGGTGTCTTCTGTCTTTGATATCCATTATTCTGAGTCAGGTAGGATGTTTTCAGAAAAGCCACTCTTATATTTGGGGCCAGTCACTGTCACCTAAAGCAGGAAAGGATAACAAAAGAGTGAGCAATGTTGTTAGTAGATTTTGTTTTATTCTAATTCCCTTGAATTATCCTTGAAGAACAAGGTGACACAGATTGAGAAGAAAGAGAAAGAAGACCCACATGACGCATCCTTAGAAATCGAAACAATTGCCCTGAACGAGTGGGGGAAGAAAATAAAATGCTACAAGAGAATGGCATTGTATCTAAATTATCATCTTGTTGAAGAGTTTAAAAAAATAAGGATAAAACAAAACCGCTGTTATATTTTGATTTTTGAATGAGCACTGATAACAGCACACAACCGACAAAATCGTATTTGTTCCTGTCCCTGTGACAGTACAAAGTAAAACAGACTCAAACTAGCTTTAATTATTTCCATTCTTCCTGCAGGAGGGCTTGCAATTAAGAAAGAAGCATGCAGGAGAGTTGCATAGAGGAAATTATTCCTATCCAGCATTGATGTGTCACAAAGATGTATGCTATCCTTGAACAATGCATTCAGAAGCAGCAGCTGATCCTATTGCCCTGGATAACACAATCCAAGGCCCTGTTCCAAACAAAAGGTGGATCAGGTATCTCAGAGGTTCTTTCCAGCCTTGACGTTTCTGCATTTTCATTATTCTCCGAAAACACTTTGGGAACTGGCTGCTCTTGGGCACCACAGAACATGACTAGATGCTCTTCTTCACAGTCCCTCAAGAAGACCAGTTTATCCATTTCAGCAGCTAGAGATCTTGACAATTGCGTAAAAAATATCTTCTTGCTCACTGGAGCAGAAAGAGAGATTCTTACATTCCGCTTAATTAGGACACCCTTACTGTGGCATATATACTTTAATATATGCATAGTTAGCATGCATAAACTGCAAAATGAAAGATACTGTTGAAAGCAAGAAATACACTAAGCATAAGCACCCTAACCACTGGGGTACTCATTATTTTGAGTTGGTATTTGGATGTGTGTCTTTCTCTCATGGCATCCCATGCCCAGGTCTGTGTGTTAGTCCTGAGAAATCCTCATGACAAAGCTTTTTGTTGGGAAGGAAATCTGCCCACACAAAGAATACCCACATTTGCTAACAAGCAAAAATCAGAACTAAACCTCTGCTTTTCTATTCCTGGCTAAGAGGTGAAGAAATGGTTTTGGCAAATCTAGCTGGGACAGTTGAAGACATTTTCTTTCCCATTGTCACTCCAGGTGATACTCAAAAGCACTCCCCACAGAATGGGAGTAGGTCCTGCACACCAGCTGCACCCAGTCTCAGGCCAGAATCTCAATCTACAAAAGCGCTTCAGCAATACTATTGCTTCTGACACCTCTACCACCAAGGTAACAAACTCCAGTGAAAGGTGGTAAAAACCCCAGAAGGCAGCCCTGTCTCACTGTTGTAGTTGTCTGAGCTGATAGGAAACAAGGTCATAACATTGGTTTAAGTATTGCCTAAATCATGGCTTTTTGGCTGGAATAGATTTTGTCCCTAAGAGAGAACAAATGTACTTGTCCAGAGGAACTAGTGAACTTGAGAAAAGGTTTATTGGCTTCATTTAGACTCTGACATTTAGACTTGTTGTGGGTTGTTTTTTTTTTTTTTTGTTTTGGGGTTTTTTGGTTGGTTTTTTTTTTTCTTTTCTTTCTATATTTCAAAGCAGAAAGTTAGGTAACCAGGAGAAACAGCTGCTTTAAGCCACCCACAGATACCCTGCAATCTGTGAGCAACACAAAGTGTAAACATGCTTACTTTTTTCTCCTTTCTCTCTTATTTTTAACCACGATGGTACATTTCAGAGGGGGAGAAAAGGAAGAAAACAAGACCACAAAAATCACAAAATAACACATGCAGAAAAGCCAAAACAAAATCAGAAGACATTCAGCCCTTAAAACTGGGAGGGTTAGTGTAGAATTTTAGATCAAAGATAACAGAAGACTCAATATATACTCCCATTTCTCACCTCTCTGACTGTCCAGTGGCTAAGCTGACTTCTCCATATCCAAGTTAAGTTCAATTCTTTGATCCTGTAGTATTTATTAAACTGTAAAGTATATTAACACTGGTGGCACAAATGCTTGAAGTTTGAGGAGATATACATGATCATGTAGACTAACAATGCCTGGCTCCCTGATCCCAGTCCAGTGCTATCTCATCAAACTCAAGTATCAATAGATCACAAGTATAAAACACAGAAGCAGGTGAATGCAGCACCATATTGAGCAAAACCTGCCAGATACTCTCTGGATGTCTTTGTGCTACTGGTCAATACAAAAGCCTATTACTACACATGAAGTCCATCAGATCACAAAAACAAACAGCTTTTTGTTTTTATGATTGCTAAACTTTAAGCAGTCTGGCCTGATTTCTGTTGTTTTGGAAAGAACATTTAATTCCTTGATACTACAGTTTAAAAGAAGAGTTTACAGTGACTGAGCCAAACCTTCTGATTCTTTCCATGATATCAGCTTCTTAAAGCATCTTCTTTAAGAAAATAGATATTTTTTAATTTTTCCCTCAATAAATAGTCTTTGTGCAATTACAATTGCAAAAATAAAAGGAAATGGTAAGACAATGCTCTAATGTTGATAATGCCAAGGATATTCCTCAGTCACCCTTATGTGCTGAATATAAGGCACCAATAGCTGCATGGTTGGCACCATATGAAGCACAAGAAAATAAATGTAGAAATATGATAAATCTATTCCAACAGCTTTACTTTGAGCTTTCTGATGGAAAGTCTCATTACAAGAATCAGACACCGATAATTTGGTGAGAGACTTGATCTTTATACTATTAAAAATTTCTTGAACTTTAGTAAATTTTAAGAGATACTTAAAAATATTACAGATAAAGTGAAAACATTCTTGGGGGGTTTATTCAATGACATTTTCATATTTATTACAGTACTTCTTAACTTTTTCCTAATTTTTCTGTTACTTGAAAAGAGATCCCAAGCATCTGAGACTAAATACATATACCTAAATGCAACAAAATATTCTTACAGATTCTCCTCTCATCCTCCTCTCTGTTTCGTTCACAGAAATCCTCAAAGCAGTCAGGCAACAACAGTTCCACAGCACTGGCAACAAACTGCTCTTCAAATTCTGACAACGGTATCACCATACATGGCTTAAAATGTGATGAAATGAAATTGTAACACACTTTAAGAAAACTTGTTTCACATACTTATCTTAAACAGATGAAATACTGTTTCAGTTCTATGCTAAATACCTTCCCTGTTAGAATGTGAAATCTTTATGCAATCTATTCCTGAAAGGTAAAATTTGATAGCTTTAGGTAAGCGAGAATAATGGTGAGATTCAATTTGGGTTTAAAATCCCTGATACTTTTTGACTTGCCTGTCTCAAGGGCACTCTATGAATGGTTTATTTTGAGTAGTTGACCTAAATAGTAACTGATTTAATAATTTCTTTTGTTTCAAAGGATTTCACTAAGTCTGCTCATATTGACCCACTTATACTACAGAGTAGTACTACCACTAACTGACTTCAACTGTTTTTCTCATCTATCAGTGTCTTAATTCTCTATGATGCACTAGCAGGACCCCCATCTAACTTTCTGAATGAGGTATTTATGCCTTGCAAAATTGTTGGTCAAGTTTCAAAGCTGTGTATTCTCAGACTCTAGATCTAGACCTTCCACGGATAGGAAATCAAAAGCAATAAATGGGACATGCTCTATTTGCTGCTGACATCTATCTCATGTGCCACAAGTTGCACATACCTAATAAACTTTGGACTCACTATTCACCCTCTACAAAACTTTTGTGTTTATGTGAAGCAACTATTTACCTGAACATGAGTACTGCAGTGATCACAGGAGCGTAAGTGGTAACTGTGGGGTAGTTTAAGGATGCTAAAACACTGTGTGTTGAGGAGAGAGGAGAGAGCTAAGGAGCTTAGAAGTGGGAATAGAGGGGTTTGTTTCAGGGGGGCTAAAAAAAAAAAAATTGACCACTTCCTGTGTTAGCAAAGTCAAATCAATAGGAGGCATGCAGAGAGGACTCAAAATGAATTTTAATGGCTTAGAAAAGCCTACGCTAAAAGTCTCTTTAAATTTGAAGTTGATACTTACACTGATCTTACTTAAGTTATGTGCTTGTTTCTTGTATTTTCTAATGATCCCTTATACTATTAGAGGGTACATGGCCATTAGAACTGCCACTCACAATAGACAGAATGCAGTAATCACTTGGAAGTTCAAGAGAAAACAAAGCACTTCACATTTACTTTGTGCCCCTAAATAACCTAGCACAACTAGATCAAGACATTACAATAGTGCATACAGTATGAGAAATAGGCTTTTTTCCCCTCTCTTTTTAAAAAAAGAAGTAGTACACCATGTACCAATCTGTTCATTAAAAAAACAGGTCTCATAAAAGCCTGTACTCCTTTTCATCATCAACAATTGGAAATAAGCTTGTGGTTTAGAGATTCAAATGCTGTTCATTATTTTATGCAAAGACTATTTCTGAAATGAGAAAATTCAATAATTCAGCTTTGGCACAGTACAAATTTTCACGGAATAAGTAAAAGGGTTCTTTAACTGCTCTATTATTTTCAGATTTTAATATCAGTGAAAAAGTACATCTCTCCTGGGTCACCTCTGCCTTTTAAAAAAGGCAATAACTAAATGTGGTTTTTTTTTTAAATGAAATACTAGTATAGCCTGTACACTTTGTTACATAAAATAATGTTGATGGCAAGTATGCTCGTTTTGATCTGAGCCAAAAATCAAAGCATATTTGGACAGTCTGTTTGGTGTAATAATGTAACCTCAATTTCCATTGGTAAGTCTTCCTTCTGATTTTTTCATATTCTTTTTTTTTTTTTGTCACTTCAAATACTGAATTTTCCTTTCAATGTAGCTACTCTATGCATTGTGTTGAAAATTAGGCATATTTAGTGTGACACGTGAAATAGCTATTTCAGAACAGTTTTGATGAATGATTCAAGTTTAAGTAATAGAAGACATACAGTGCT